CAGGGAGGGAAGCGTGGTTGCCCCCCAGCCCGCCGCTCCCCGCCGGGAGTGGTCCAGGTGCCCTTTCTGGGGAGGGGTGTATGGAGGTTCCCCTCCTTTTGCTGTAACCTGGGCTTCTGAACCTGGCGCCGGGCCGGGTGATTCCCTGCGTTGGGGGCCGCCCTGTGCATTGCGGCGCGTTTCGCAGCATCCCTGGCCTGTACCTTCTAGATATCAGCGGCACGCCTCTCCTCGCTCCCTGTTTGTGACAACTAAAACTGTCCTCGCGGAAGATGAAATCGCCCAGTTGAGAACTACTGCTCTTAAAGACTCCCCTGTGTTGGGGAGTGGGCTACACATTTACCCTGAAAATTTCTGGGTGGCCCCTTGTCATGTGTCTCTATACTCTTCCTGGTTTTGTGGGCTTTGGTCCTATGGAAAATGATTAAACTTTTGGCCTCAACAGAATTTTTTTATTGAGTCTTTTGACAAAAATAGTCAAAACAGGTATAGCCATTGAAGTGCCTTCTCGCTTCCGAATTAGAGATGCTTAGTTGACTGGGGATGCTTTGCTATATTTTTAAATCTCTAGCCCTTTCATGTGTAGCCCCTTAGACAATTGGGTGATTATACCTTATTTTTGGTGGAATTTTAAAAATTCTGGTAAAATATACAGAACGTCATGAGTCTTTTGATTGGCGTGGAGGGTTAAATTTTTGTTTGATTGCATACTTCCTCAATTTTGTGGATTAGAGTGGACAGGCTACAAATTAAGGATTTTTCTGAGCAAAAATATTCTTGGTGAGCTTTAAAAATTGCATTATAAATCTGCATCTTATACCAGTATATACATAAATACAATTATTAAATAAACAATTGGCAGAAAAATGTTCCTTCAAAGTCAGAGCCTCTGGGCAGTTCACACAGCTGTCACAAAATGGTGTACTTCTGAGGGCCCAAAGGGATTCCTCATCTCTCAGGTAACGTTTGAAGCTAACGTTGTTATATATATATAAGCTAATTGAATTAAATTCAGGATCTAAGATGGTGTTTATTTAGCAGTTCTTATGCACACCCAAACTTGATAGTCACTATGTTAATTTAAACTGGAAATATGAAATTATTTTAAATCAAAGCAAGAAAATAAAGTATTGCAGAAAGAGCAAGTAAGGCAAGTACTCAAAATTGATTGTCCTTTGGTCTGGCATCTGAGAAGCCAGTAGTGATCTTTGAAAGCTGCATCTGTTTCCATAACATCCTTGTCTATCTGGTTATTTTTCCTGTTCACTGGTGGCTAATTTGCAGCCTTTTTTGGCAACTACCTCTGTTGTTCCTCTGAATGTTTGTATTCTGCCCTGTCTCTAAGGTCTCCCTATAGGATCTTAGCTGGGCCTTTGGTGTGGCATATGCTGATGACTCCTCATTTAATCTCTCTAGCCTCTCCTGAGCTTCAAGCCTCACCAATCCAAAGGCTTACTTGATGATGCGCTTTAGAGGGCTTCAAACTTTAATGTGCCTCAGGGCTTGTTACACCCTGGGTTTTTGCTGCCACCCCAGAGTTTCCTGTTTGGTTCTGTGGGTCTGGGGTGGGTCTCGGATTGGTCTCAACAATTTACTTTCCTAGCACATTTCCAGCTGGCCTAGGGACCATGCACTGAGAATCTCTGCTATAGTTGGAATTATACAGGCATTTCAAAAGAGAAAAACCATGTCTATGGCAGTGAGAGGTAAAATGATGAGGATGTATTAAATTGTAAATAAGGTTGGATGGAGGTTGTCCAGATGGGGACTTGTTACCTGATGGTTCCTCCTCCTATTTTTTAATGACCCATGAAGTCATGACAGGCAGAGTTCTGACTTATAAATATGTTTGATAACTTCTAAGATATATGTCTTTCTTTCATTTTTAGCCTGAAAACTGGTTTTTTAAAGTGGAAGCCAGATTATGACAGTGCTGCTTCTGAATATGGAAAAGCAGGTATGTGTGACTATAGCCCAGTAACTCCAATGTGCAATCTTAAAGCAGGCTGGTAACTTCCTCTCAGCATAGTATTTACTCAGTGCTTCCTGTAAGATTCTAATAGTTAAATAACAACAACCACCTCCCCAAGGCCTTGCGTTTTTTACACTCACTATTTTCAAATGTGAGTCAGAGATCTCCGTACTCCTGCCTCTCGTGACAGCAGAGATGAGTGGAATTGGCAGAATTTGGCTGCAGGATTTTAACGTTGTTTATATATTCTTAAACTTTAGTCAGTTGCATAATATTTTTAGGAGTTTTGCCATATTCTTTTATTACACTTCCTATTATTGAATTTTTTTGTGTTAATTTTTTAAAAATTAGTCTTATTGTAAGAAGATCTAAAATCATGTATTTGGCACATGTTATTTTTTTTTCTTATGAGCTTCAGTTTGAGATACAATGATAAACGTTCATGAGTGTTCAGCTACATAAAAATTAGAATATATTTGTATGTAAGATAAAAGTGATCTGAAATATGCAGCAGACGGGCTTTACTAAAAATTTAGCATTTTAATTTATGGAAATGTAGCTTTCAGGATATTCATGATTATTCTGGATATAAAGCATAGTGCAGTTTGAAGTACCCTGAATACATTTTACAGTTGTGTTTCAGTGAAAACCCTGATTACTCTCCTGGCATATCACCAAAGAAAAAAGAAATCGGATAAATTGAAACTGATAAGAACAATAAGTGTTACTTTCTAGATAATAAAAGAAATTACAACAAATGAGTCTTTAGCACTTTTATTTAAACCCCGAGTAAATTCTCTCTGATATTTAATATATCTTTATTGATTTCAGAGAGAGGAAAGGAGAGGGAGAGAGAGAGAGAGAAACATCAATGATGAGAGAGTCATTGATCGAGCCCGCAATCCGGGCATGTGCCCTGACCAGGAATTGAACCCTGATTGCCTGAATCCTAGGTTGACACTCAACCGCTGAGCCACGCCCGGCTGGGGTCTGATATTTATATATCATATTTAAAGGGGAAATTATTAAAAGTTTAAACTTCATATGGATTTTATGAGCACCTTGTACAAGAAGCTTTTGTAATGAGAGGGCACAACATTTTCCAAATTTCCATGAGGGAAATCTGACATAGATTTGTTGTATATGCATCTGAGACCATGAGCTGCTTTCAAAAATATTTCAGGTCATATTTTCCCATTAAAACAGTCTTTGTTTATTTTCTCCAAGGTTTATGCAAAATAAGTTTAAATCAGTAGAATAAATATGGAATAGTTTCAGTAGTTTATTTTCAATATTTTATTAAAGAGAATTTTAAGAGTGCATTTTTAACAAATAACTTTTTTCTTAAAGTTGTATCCTTTTTACATATTTGTAAGCAACCTTTGGTAAGTTTACCAAATCTGTAGCATCATATATTAGGGCCAGTTCTCATTGTTTTGTTCTGATGATGACATTTAACAACAGTGAGCAATGTGTTTTAACGTTTTGGATATTGAGGTGTTTTTTTTTTTCACAGAAACCTAAACAGTGCAAAATGCATTTATTTTTGAAAACTCCATTTTTAATTTTTTAGAAGTTTATTTAAATATTGTGCCAAAGAGGAGGGCTTATTATAAAAACATTTAATGTGTTTGTTGATCTTTATTTTTAAATAATTTAAAAGATGGAATAAGCTATATCTAAAGCACTGGTTATTATTATTATTAAATGTAAAACTGGTGAAGTAAGGTACTGTTTTTTGTGACAGTGCCTGTTATTTGGGAACATTGGTTTGACTGATGAGAACTTAGGTTCTCAAAGCTTAGATGTTGGTGTTAGAAAGACTTCTTCATGTTGAGTGGAAGTAGCACTGATTTGTAGCGAATAGTTTGCAATTAAAAAAAGCAACCAAACTTTAGAAAATATTCTAAGTTATTGATCATCAAAAAAGTGGTAAGAAAATTGCTTTAGAAAAAGTAATACTTTATAGTTTTTTGAACTTCCTAAGTATTTGATTAAAATAAGTATATGTATTTTCTAATACTTTACACATGATGCAGATTTTGGTAATGATTCATTTGAAATTTTTTAAGTGATGGAAATGGAAAGTCTTTCTGTTGTTTTATTTCAGCTCTTGCTTTTAAAAATGCCAAACAGTTTGAGCAAGCAAAAGATGCCTGCCTGAGAGAAGCTGTTGCCCATGAGAATAACAGGGCGTATCTTTTTCAGCCTTTAAAAAGGACTTAACAATTCAATGATTTTGACAAAGGCATATTTTCTCTTATAAGTTTGCTACGCATGGAGTACAATGCTATTAAATTAGAAAATGATTAGAAAAATTCTGCATATTTAAACTCTGAAGGGGCATTTATAGAGACTTATGATCATAAGGTCCTTACTGCTTTGCAGAGCTACATTTGAGAGTTTATTTCTGCTTTTTCTCACTTTGCTTGATGATGATTTTACTTGGGATGAAGTGATGAAAATCTGTAGACAGACACCGAACAATGAAGAGGTAGCACAGGTATTGGAGATGTATAAACTGCTATATGAATTTTTTAAATATAGTCTTTCTCGGGTATTTGAAACAAGGTTTATAAGTAGTTCAAAACAATAAATTTTCCTGAAGTTTTTTAAAACTTATACTGAAAAATGTTTATTTTTGTCTCACTTGCTAATGTTATGGTTATAATAACCTTGCATTTTAGTAAAACTCTTCAGATTAATGCATAATGGACCTAGTTTAAAATTTGTGTGGTGTTCTTGTGAATTATGTAGTTTTAAGAGGCATCAGCAGGCATAAAATGCAGGATTTGCCTTTTGGATCACAACTAAGGCAGTGATCTAGTTACCTTTGTCTTTTAAATAGTAAATACTTAGAAATGTTTGATTTTCTTTTTTTCCTTAATTTTGACTTTATTACATCCATTCAGTCTTTTTCATGCTGCCAAGTAAGTAAAGATTCTCCCACATTTTCATGTGTTTGCAGATTATTGTTTTAAATGTTGATGTTTTTCCATGGGTCAGTAAATTTTATCTAAATTATAAATTTGTAAATAGTGAATTCTTTTGTATTGATTTAAATAAAAATCATTTCTATTTGTTTCAGTCTTCACCTGAACCTTAAAACCTGAGCTCTCCTAAGATATATAGTGTTTCAATTAAATTCACCTTGATACTTTTAGGACCATTTTGTTCAGTAACCTATGAAAAACCAAGTATGTTAGAATCTCTTGTTTCCCTCTTTCTTGATAGATAATAGTGCCTATGGAGAAAAATAGGAAGCTTTCTCTTGCTCATTTGGAGAGTACTTATTTGTTTCAAAACTTGGATTTAGGCTTGTCAAATAGACCCTCATTTGACCTTTCTGAATCATACTTAATTTTGCATCTGCAAAATAAAATCCCTTCAGCTCAGATGCCTGATGTTTCTAAGGCATTATTGCCCATGAAAATAAAAAGAAAATATATGCTGTGTGCTAATACAAGCCTAAAGTAAAATGTAGTGCCTGGGCCAGTTAAAAGTGGAATAACTTCCCGTAGCTGTAGTAGAAAGTTTCTCCTCATTTCTTTAAGGTCTCATCCAGGAAATTATATTCTCTTTGCAGAGCTTATGAGCAAGCTGGCATGATGCTGAAGGTCAGTGATGTTTTGTCACAACTGTTATATAAGTAAAATGAATTAACTGCATGGTATTGAAGTAAATTTACATTAAAGTTGAAAAGTCTCCTTATAAGACGAGAGATGTCCAAAGCAATACTAATTGGACCTATAGGGCCCATTGTGTTTGTCATAAGATAGGAAGTTTTAAAAGTGAAATTTAACAGAGAACGTATTAGAGGGATCTGGGAACCCCAAGGCTCTAAGCTTTGTACCTGGGAGAGTGTATCGCTAAACAAAGAGCTATGTGGGAGGTTTCCCTACTTTTGAGAAATTTAGAACATTTTAATGTAGTAAAAATTTGCAAGTATATATACTTCACTACCCTTGTGTTATAGAAAAAGAGAGATTTTTGCTTGTTTTATAAATAACCAGTTGGCATTGAAGAGAACCAAAGACTTAAGCTGTTGCTATTTAACTTTGATTCTTCTTGAATGGAATATTTTTACTAGTGGGCTGTGCCGCTTTTTATATTTCTGCTTCTTAAAAACAGGTTGGGAATTAATATCCTGTTGTGAAACAGAGCATACTGCTTTATGACACTGACTCTCAGAGTATGCCAGTGGCCATTGAAACCTAACGTTTTCCTTCTCATTTTTATGTTCTCTAATATGGTAAAAAGTTGTTTTAAATTATTTGTATAAAGCCTTGTTTTAAGAGCTTTGTTTTTTAATTTTTACAACTTCTATAATCTTAATTTACTGATTTCTTTTTTAAGTGAGCACATGGTCACATTATAGAACATTTAGAAACTCTGAAACAATTCAAGAATGTTAGTAATTGCTATTAACATCTTTAGTTTTCTTTCTAGTTATTTTCACATGTACATTTTCATATACATAGAAAACAGATAATGTTCTACATGCAGTTTTGTATCTTTTTATATTTAACATTTTCAGGAAGATTTTCTAATATCATTAAAAAAAATACTTTTAAGGGTTTTAAGAGTTTTCATTGCCTTTGACCCAGGAATTTTAATTCTGTCATAAAGAAATGGAGAAATAGGTTCCCTTGAGACTAGGAAATGCCAAGGTACCTCATGATATCTCGGTGTACTTTGTGCCTGTTATTAGGATACACTGTCTTGATACAGAAATGCTAGAACACTAATACATAATTTTCACAGCCTCCGTTTATGTTCTAACAGCTGTGCTAAGGCTTTAGTTTTCAAAGGTTATTAGCAGAAATCATTTCCTTTTCTCCAGTATCTGTTTAGTTTGAGGATTTGAAAGGCACGGTCTCAAATGAAGGAAAAATAAACCTATGGATAGGGGAAAAGACAAAAGAAAATACTTTCTGGCATTCTCTTGTATTTAAGTTAAATGCCTTTGAACAGTCTTGGCACCATTAGGAGTCCCGTGCTATGGGTCCACAGTTTGTTCTGAGGGATAAAATTCCCACCATTTGTCATACAAACCTTCACATTCATCCCCCAACAAGGCTTAGGAAGGACAGTTTGCACAGGGGAAGAAGACATAGGAATTTGTTGGCTCAGCCTCTGGTTCTGCCATTTTACCACTGTTGTGATTTCATATCCTGTTTGCTCCAAAGAAGTGATAAGGTGACTAAGGCACACAAGCCACTGAAAATAGGTGTATTTAAATTTTGTTCTTTGTGATTTTGCCATACTAGAAGAACGCGGTGAGTATAAAACAGTCTAACTTTTAAGTAGGCAGCCCATCCTTTTTTTATGGAGAGGTGTCAGTGTTGTGGTTAGGCCTCCGCTACTCATAGCCATGCTTATTTGATGCAAAAGCAGGAAAAGGTACTTAATTTTTAAACACATAAGTTAGATGGTATTTCATATTTCCCTTCCATGTAGCTACTGCTCTCTATGTGTTATCTGTGAGGGTAAGACTCATGAAGGATAGTACCCTGTGATATATTTCTTTAATCCCTTTAATATTTTACATATTGTAGATTCTCAGTATAGATTTATTTAATTAATGGATAAGTGAATCAGGGGAGAAATACTCTGTAAAAACCTAAGTAACCCTTAGGATGAAAGTGGGTGAAATAGATTTTGTTAGACTTAACCTTTCCCTTCCCTTCCTACCAAATATCCTTCAACATATACCATAGACACTTGATTCTTTCCTTGACCTTTGATTTCTATAACAAAAAAGATTCTTTTCATTGAGGGTTGAGGTCATATTAACTGATATCTTTCCACTTGAGTTCAGTAGCAACTTATTTTTTGTAGTATCTTTCAGTCTGTCTTATTTATCTTCGTAGCTAAATAATAAAAAAGTTATATTTTGAAGTCTAAGAATGAGACTAAGCTTTGTATCCTGAAAAAACATTGTCCAGGTAGTGAGGAACTGAATAGGCAGGTTTGAAAACAACCCAGGATTTGTCAGCATGGAGCCTACTTTAAGATATAACATGTCAATCCTAAGTAAATAACGCCTATGTACTTTATATTGAGCTTTTCAATGAATTTTTTAGTTTTTAAAAAAGTTTTGATAGGGAGATATTAGATATGAGGTCCACGGGATGTTGGAACTTAATGGTGTAATGGTAAGACATAGAGTCACCCATTGATCGCATTCAGCATGGGAGATGGTGGCAAACTCAGATGAACAGGGCATAGGGGAGTGACTGAAATGAAAGAGCTGGGCCTGGTGTGCAGGGCAGTAGGAAATGGGAGAATTGAGGCTACGGGAGGTGGTATACCTCCACCAGGACAGTGCTGCTCATCGCTAGGCTGTTACTGCCATGCAGGAGTGCAAGGCTGCTGATGCCATAGCTTTTCATATCTTTAAAAAAATAGGGAGTCATAAAACTTTTGTGAAAGTATCTGATTAAAAATACTGAACGGTTCAAACAAGGCGCACTTGGGAGTAAGATGCAGCCCTTGGGCTGCCAGTTTGCAACCTTTGGCATAGGCCTGTGTATAGTAGGGACTCAGTAAACGTTCAGATTAATTTTGTGTTGTTTTTTTTTTTTTAAATATATATCTTTATTGATTTCAGAGAGAGGAAAGGAGAGGGGGAGAGAGTGAGAGAGAATCATTGATTGGCTGTGTCCTGCAGGCCCCCCACTGGGGATCAAGCCTTGATCTCCTGGATCATAGGTTGATGCTCAATTGCTGAGCCACGCCGTCTAGGCCATTGAAAGAACTTTGAATGCTTGCAAAACAGTAAAGAGCAACTGTTTTGATTTGTACTCTTGGTATAGTTTCCCTGAAATTCTGTGAAGTGATGATGAATTTTGTGTAGAAATTAACCGATACATACTTGGTTTGGCTAAATGAAGCTTGATGGGGAGAGTAACCATGTGTAGGCAATTTCATTTTAAGTATATTTTCTTGTATAAGATTTGAGTCATTTACTTTCATGAAGCAGGGATAAAATCACTGAATTTTAGATTAACTTTGTATTTCTTAAATTGATGCATTTACTGATCTGTGTTCTGTCCTTTGCCTAAAGGAGATGCAACAACTACCACAGGCTGTTCAGCTGATTGAGAAAGCCAGCATGATGTATCTCGAGAATGGCACCCCTGACACGGCAGCCATGGCCTTGGAGCGAGCTGGAAAGTGAGTGTATGGAACAGTCTCTGCATAGAAGTTATTATCTTTTTGTTTTAATAAAGTCCTTTGAAAAACAAGTATTCTATTTCTCACACAAGTCAAATTTTCTTGTCTGATTTAGACTTATAGAAAATGTAAATCCAGAAAAGGCTGTACAGTTGTACCAACAGACAGCTAATGTCTTTGAAGTAAGTTTGAATTTTATTTTTTTTCTTTAAGTATACTTAGAGTGTTTAGATTCATAATATGTAGGAAAACAGAGAAATGCAGTGGCTACTTTTTAAAACTTTTCTGTGCTCAGAGCTGAACTCTATTTTTCTCTGTTAATAGTTAAATGGACGAGCAGCTTTGGTGTCACCCTCCCAGCACCACCCTCTCGTCCCCATATTGAGTGCCATTACTTTTTTATTAGGTAATTATTGGAGGAAAAAAAGATTCCTTCAATAAAGCAGCCAACAGTCTCTTTTGTTTGATTCCTTTAGAATGAGGAACGTTTACGACAGGCAGTTGAATTACTAGGAAAAGCCTCCAGGCTGCTAGTACGAGGACGCAGGTAAGTTTTCCAAAACTGTGTTCATGTATGTCCACGTATACTGTTAGTTCATGTTTGGAACTGTTCAGTAATTTTGGGAACAGCTTGTTAATCTTTTTGGTGTAAGCCATAGACATACCAGGTGACCCAGTAGAAATATTGATGTTTGTAAGATGGAACATTGAGTTAAATATTAAAAGATCTGCTGTTTTTCTAAAGTGTAATCTCAAAAAGTATCATGCATTGTACTTCTGTTGGCTCAGCAGCATGAGAGAGTTTTCTTGATCTGGTATTTAGATTATAATGTCTCTTGTTTTTTGAGGAGAAATATCTACATAGGTATAAGTAACAGAATGCCCTGAAAATGTAAATGGACAGCTTTTTGATAGCCAAATAGTGTCATTCAATAAAGTATTTAGTTTTTTATCCTTTGTATGACAAATAGCTGGACCCCAGAAACCTAGAATTCCTAATGGATTTTTCTTTGTTTTTTACATTACCTCAACTTAAGCTTTAATAAGCAATTTGTCATTCATAAAATTCTGTTTCCTGAGATCTCGTTTAATAACATTTAAGATAAACCCTTAGAAGACTGTAAGTCTGAAGGTACATATCTTAATTGAAATTTGCCTCTAGCTATCCAGTGACAGGAAAGACCCAAGATATATTTTGTTACAGAATCAAAAAAGAAATGACTGAAGAATCTGTTGATCCCTGAGACTGAATTAAAGCTTTTACTTCATTCATACATCAGAATAAATTAATACAGAATTAATAACTATTAAATGTTCTCATTTAAATATACAACTTTATAAGTCCTTTTATCATTGATTGATTTAGGTGGGGGTCTAAACAACATTTTTATTTTGGTTTTAAATTAGGACTTTGTATTAAACCATGAAGCAAAATTTAACTTATAAGTCAGCCTTGGGTCATTACCTTTATCTTAGTAATCTTGCCTTCCTAGAAGTTAACTGAAATGCTAATTCTGGCAATTTCCAACTAATAATCAGTGGTTTAATTAAGTTTAATCTCAGGAAGGGTTTCCTGCAGAAACAAAGCTGCTTGTAGTGGTGGTTTCAGGCTGTTACAGAATAGCTGAACTGAAAGGTAGTACCTGGATTCTAACTCATGACACCCAATCTCTAACCTTTCAAGGGCTCACTGATTAGGTCAGGCCCATCCAGGCTTTCATTGATTCATTCAAAGTCAGTTGTGTAGTATCCTCACAGGAATGGTATCCCATCATATTCAGAAGCCTTGCACACATTCAAGGGGAGGTTGTTACAGGGAGTGTATATGAGGAGCCAGAATCTTGGGGGACAATCTTAGAATTCTGCTACCATGCCCAGCTTATAACCAACTTTGTTCCCACAATTTAGCACGTTGAGCTTTAGAAATTCAGAATGCATTTCTCTAATGAGTCTTATTTTATGAGACAGTAAGTTGACAGGGCACGGCCCACAAAAATTCGAATTTATAATGTGAGTTAAACCAAGCCACTGTGTGTATTTTTGTATGCAGATATTTTTTAGAAGTAATGACTGACACAGGAAAATATTGTATAACATTTTTGTACTTTTAATTTGAGTCATAGCAACACCTTTCTCCCTCTGTATCCTAACAGTGCAGACTGCTTGCTCCTTTTGGCTGTTGGGATGAGAGAAATAGTGAAGACTGAAATTCATCCAGGCACAAGTTAGATGTTAGTAAGGGAGTCCTGGAATTAGGAGTACAGACTTGGGCAAAAGTAGGTTAAATTACGTCTTCATTACCTGAAAAACATCATAAATAAGGATACGAAATAATAACAATAATAATGTGACAAATAACACAAATAAAAAATACAACAATTAACAAATAAGTAATAATACTAGAATAAACTGTTTCACATACAACTGTAAACCTACTTTTGGCAACCGCTTTATCACAGCTTTACTGGGAGGCGATCTGATAAGGGTTTGATGGGATTTGGGTTGGGGAGGCAAGCAAGGGTAGGGCCTTGGAGGATCAGCAAAGATTTTTGGTGATCCCTTCCCTTTCATTCTGCTGGGCTAGAAGGAAAGGAAAATGGGAGAGTAGACAGAAAAAGTGAATGTTGAGAATCAGAGGTGGCAGGAAGGACTTCTCTAGCCTCGACCTGCCTGCCCTCCTCTGCTACCCTTTTCGGCACTGGGCACTGTTAGGGCTCACCAAGGCGGCGCTGAGTGGGACAGTGAGGACAGAGTGGGAGAGGTGATCCTCAGTGGGAGGCCATGCTCTCTGGGCATCTGGGTGGCCTTGCCATGGAAGGAAAGAAGTCTGGGATGAGTAAATGGAGGGCTGTCTCATGCATTTCATAAACATCCATAAAGCAGTTTATTGAATTTGATAGATACTGATTATTGAATGATCCTTACCAGACTTAAAACTCTCCATGTGAAGTAACCTATCTAAGTTCTCTTGCTTTGTCTGTCTGCTTGATGCTTATAAGGGCAGGTTGAGCATTTAAAAGATAAGCCATATGAGCAGAGCTCATGGAAACATGGGCTACGGAACAGATGCTAAAATGCTGTTACCTTCTTTATTTCTCTAAAAACTATAATATCAAATACATTACAAGAATGATCTCTGCCATAGATCATTTAGACCTAGTTTGTTTGACATTTCTTTGTTTTTATCTTTAGGTTTGATGAAGCGGCACTCTCTATTCAGAAAGAAAAAAATATTTATAAGGAAATTGAGAATTATCCAACTTGTTATAAGGTATATTTTAAAAGTGCTTATTTTTGACTTTACATTAGATAATTTTCCATATTGGTATAAATACGTACCTGTAACCAGATTCCATCGATGTTTGTGCATTTGTTAAAATAATGCTTTCTGGGCCTCTATTTTTGGCCAAGATGGAGTAAGTCTACTGCAGCCTCCCTCCTATTGATTACAACTAAAACTTCAGACAAAATACAAAAAGCAATTACTTTGAAAAGTAAATAGAGCAGATCGAAGGAGGGGAGTAAACACTTGGAGAAGCAACCAATATGATTGGGAGCAGGTTTCCAGGATTTTTTCCTATTTCCTCTTGTGGCTTTGACTTAAGAGAAGCCCCAGTCCTGGAGCTGGGCCGCAGAGGCTCCAGCAGCTAAAACTCCTAAAGGACCCGTCTATCTCATCTTTCTAAGCAGAGGAACTGGGGAGGGGCCCATTGTTTTCCTCGTTGTTTCTTCCTTGGCTTTGCCCTCGGGGGAAGTCCTAGTGTGTGGTGGTGGTCAGGCAGGTAAAACCTGGTCTCTGACCAGAGGAACTGGGAAGATGAGCTAAGAGAGCAAGGAGAAAACCCTGGAAAGGGGAGCTGGAATAGGGAATCCCCTGAGTGTGTGTGTGTGCGCGCATGCGCGCAGGCCACACAGGTCTTGAGTTTACTGTCCAGCTGTGCCTGTGCGGGACAGACCCAGAGGCAGAGCATAGGCTTGGAGAACTGCAGTAGCATTAAACCACTGTCCAGGGCTCATAGCACCCTTGCCAGGATCACGCATGGGGCAGAGCCCAAGAAGCAGAGCAGAGGGACTGAACGAAGGTTAGAGCCACTGTGCACCAGAAGCAGACAAAGCATGCAGTCTGAGCCTGGTGGGCAATTGCCTGCTGGAAACATCCACCTCTCCTGAGAATTATAGGAAAGTCTATGCAGCGCAACATTCACAGTGTCCAGGGTGCAGTTCCAAACTATTGACGATAGGAAGAACCAGGCAAATAGGACCAGTTGTCAAGGGAAAAGATAACAGGCCAACAGAGATGACTTGGGTGTTAGAATGATCAGATCAGGACTTTGAAGCAGCTTTCATAATTTTGAGTGAGGCAAAGGTAAACAGGTGAATGAATAGAGGACAGATTTTTTTAAATAGGAACTATAAAAATCAACTAAATGAGGATATTAGAACCGAAAAAGCAGTATGTGAAATGAAATACTAGATGGGCTTATTATCACACTGGACATGAGAAAATTCAGGGAACTTGAAGATAGATTAATAAAAGTTATCTGAAAAATAGACATAAAAGATTGAAGAGCTATTTTGCCAGTAAACTATCAGTCACATCTTTGATCTTACTAATATTTTTCTTGATTTATAGTGTCATGTTTCTGTTATCTAAAGTTTTCGTTCTATTTTTTTCTTAGTATCTCTTTAAGAATAAAAAGTATAATTGTAGAGTTATGCCCCCCTTTAATTCTCTTTTCAAAATTAAATCTATATAGGTATTTAAAAGAAATTTTCTTTAAAATGTGTGGTGGTGTTCCAAGGCTTTGTTACTGTAAGTGTGGTCCTCAGACTAGCAGTGTCCACCTGGGAGCTTGTTAGAAACAGCAGGATCTCAGGCTTTCTTTGGGCCCACGGACTGAGTCGTCATTTTAACAAGACCCCTGGGTAGTTTGTGTGCACATTAGCATTTGAGATGTCCTGTTTCAGTATATTTTTCCTCAGATGTCCTGTGGAAATTACTGCAGAATTTAGAAATCATTCTGTATGAAACCAGAACTCCCGAAGTTAAATTCCAGATGTCAGGAAATTGACTTTATTAAGTAGATAAAAATTTGGACCATAATCACCTCTTTTGTTTTAGAAAACAATCGCTCAAGTCTTAGTTCATCTCCACAGAAATGACTATGTGGCTGCAGAAAGATGCGTCAGGGAGAGCTACAGGTAAGACGCTGACTGTACTGTCCAGACTCACAATATTAATGTTTCTATTCATTTGAGATTAGTGCTTAGAAAAATAATCCTGGTTGTGAAACTGGTTAGCTTTTAAAAAAATAAATTTTATAGTAACAGAAGCACTTGACTACTATTTCAGCTTTTACAACAGTTTTACAAGTTATGTTCTTTTTTGTGTTTTCCTCCTGGGGACTTCCATGGAAGTTAGTGATTTGAATGATTTTGTTATATTTGCCTTCTAAGAAAAAAAGAACAACAAAAAAAGAAAAGTTCTTAGAACCTGTGTTACTGGAAGACCTGAATAAGGGATTTTCCTGTCAGGTGTTTAAAATGAGCAGTCTCAGTCTGGGCACTGTTGACATTTTGGGCTGTGCAGTTCTTTGTTACCAGGCTGTCCTATGCATCATAGGATGTCTAGCCTCATCCCTGACCTCTGCCCACTTGTCACAATTAAAAACATCTCCAGATGTTGCCAAACCTCTGCTGGGGGGCAGACTCACCCTGGTTGAGAAGGAACAGGTGGAGCTGTGTGGCTTGTGCTTGCTGTAGCATTCCAGGGTTTAATGGGAGCGAAGACTGCGCTGCCCTGGAACAGCTTCTTGAAGGGTATGACCAGCAAGACCAAGACCAAGTGTCCGAGGTCTGCAACTCGCCCCTCTTCAAGTACATGGACAATGATGTAAGTGGCCTCTTGGTTGGCTTTCCTTTTTCCTCTTGAATGGAAGTGGCTTCTCTCTCTCTTATGGACTTTGAGATTTTTCTCTCTCTACTTGTACCTACAGATACTTCTCAAGAGGGAACTTAGCATTTGCACTGAATTTCATTATACGTTTGGATTGTTTGAGTGTCAGCCATGGAGGTTTATAGCCAGTTATTTATCCACCTAGCGTATCAACCGTATATATAGTTTTAAATTCAGCCTCATTTTTCACTTTCATTTGTTGGCCTCTATAGGTTGCTTAGTTTTTTAAGTTTCTCCTGGCTCACTGTCTGAAAGAGACCCATCATGTAGTGGCTTTGTCACTCATCGACTTGTTGAAATTCCACTTCTGTGAGGACTGTGATGCAGGTTATTAGTTAGTAATTGTCTGCAAGCCTCAGTTAACTGGTCTGGAGAAGTGAGCAGCTGGTCCCTGTCTTGCCAGCCTGTCGTGATGAGTAGAATGGGCTGTGTTCTGAAAGCAGCCTCATGGTGCCATATATGAAAAGTGAGCTGTGACCGTGGGTTCCTCTTCTTTCAGATTTCCCTTTTTAGCAGATTTATGAGCACCAGTTCATTTGATTGTGTTTTGCAACTTTAGTCTTATGGTATCAGATCAGCTTAAGATCTTCAGTTTTTCTATCACAATGTATATAGAGGAACCATTTTTTTTCTCTCGATAAATTCTTGATAGCTTTTGTAAATTCACATATATTTTTTAAAAATTTGTCCCTAGCTTACACTCTTCATTTACTCAATAGATCTTTATCTCGTAGGCACTCTGAGTATTACTTAACTCCTTGTGTACCAGTTACCTCATATTCCTAAGTGTGGAATAGAATTGACATTTTTGCTAGTTGGTGCACCTGTCACATGGTCATAAGCCATCTGAGGGCAGAGCAGTGCTGAGTTTTGTTGTGGTTGTTTTTCCATCTAAGTGGTAGTGTTGGTTTTCATGAGGTAGAAAGTTAGGTTCTGCCTTTTGTTGGGAGATCATGTACGGAGATTCTAACTGTGCAGCTTTTTGAGAACATGCTTTTTCGTTGACAGTATGCTAAGCTGGGCCTGAGCTTGGTGGTCCCAGGAGGGGGAATCAAGAAGAAAGCTGCCGCAGCACCGCAGGCCAAGCCCGAAGGCACCGCTGCGCCCACTGCAGAGGAAGAGGAAGATGAATATGCAGGAGGGCTGTGCTAGGCTTTGCAGAAAGAAGGGAAGCATCCCCCTGTGCCATTCATGGCCTTGGGACATGTCTAAGGGCACCCAAACTCATTTCAGTCATGGCTTTGAATGCTAATAAAGACAGATTTTGTAGTTCCCATTTCCCCCAAATCACTCATTGTACCCACTGCCTGTGAAGCGTTTTTCTTTCTTTCCAAAGACACCAGGAGGAATTAATAGAAAAAAGTACTGTCACATTTTAATACAATTGATTTTAAAGTTTGCAGGCCATATTCTAAGACAGATTTGTTCTAAACAAAACGAAAAGGACAATAGGCATATTCTTTTTCTTGTAATCTGTTAGAGAATTTTCTTTGCATTTTATTTAACAATTGCTGCTAAAATTGAAGTTTACTGGTTAAACAAAATAATATTTTAAATATTTGTTTTGTTATGTTTTGAAAAGGAAATTTATTTCCCATAATATTAGCTACATTTAAATTAAATCTTTGTTCAGAGGTGAAATTGGAACAGGAAGCTATTTTGAGCCTTATAATATTATTTAAACCAATAAAGGATGATTTAAAGTCTTATATGTAAGTGTGAAAGTTCTGAAGGTTGCATGTGAAAGTGATTCTGTAAATGTCTTCAGTCTCTCTGAAATATGGGTATTTGTCCCACCAAAAAACCACATAGTGACTGTCTCCAAACCTGCTTTGTTCTTGATTCAGTGGGCGCTAATGTGGACCTTCTTATGCCTTCTAGTAAAGAGGTAGTTTCCACACCAATTTATATACACATTTTTTCCTCCTAAATAATTTAGAGTTGTAACAGGACAGTAACGTGACATGGGAAATACTGTATACCACAAAAATTTACCTGAAATGGGAGGATTGTGTTTGAAGTACTTACATTTAAGGTACTATGCTGCCAATATTTTGTTACCTTGAAAGGTTTAGAAGCATTCCTCTTTCAACCTGTGTGGCTTAGATCCATCTCCCAGTCTATTAATTTGAAAGAGGCTCCAAACACCAGCAGTGTGCATTCTGCAGGCAGATGCTACCCAGAGTGGTTTCTTGTTCGTTCACGGCCTGTCTCTCCCCTTAGAGCCCTACCTGGTGCAGGTGCAATGTGCTCAGTTTTACTAGACTTCCTGAAAATACTGTGGTGGATGGTCACGAGTGGTTTTGGTCATGGTTGGTTCTGTGGGAGACCTTAGACATTTGTGTGCCTGGGGTGGGGGGATGTTAGGATAGAAATCTCTATTGAAGGTCTGATTCAAAACACTAATAAATTTGATGTTTTGATTCCTTAAGTTGCTTGCATAGTTCAGTGAGTATCAGCTAATTTTCAGTAATTGTTTGGAGATTAATTTTGAACAATCTCAGTAAAACTATATTTAGGCCATTGTATTTAATGATGCCAACATTTCAAATTTCCTATTGTTGTACCCTTTAGGTCCAGTGAGAAGCTTCCAGAGTCTTATATTAATGCTCATTTGGGCTAATTAGCAACCTTCAAACAGGCCTGGCAGCACTTAAAAGATATTTTACACTATTTGTTTATAGACCATATTATCCGTACAGCCTTGGAAAATTTTTTTTTCCCTTTTACTCTTTTCGTAGATATTAAGCAAAAATGAGGAACGATTCAGTGCATTCTGTAGCCGCAGTGCAAGTGAGTCTTAACATTAAAAGGTTAATGTTAAAATAAGCACAACCTCCCTGCCCACACGTAAGAACTAATACACAGGACTTGTGGATTTTCAGGGCTGTTCTGTATGGTGTCCAGTAAAAAGCATTGCTTCCACATTTATGCATTTAATTTTTCCACTTATATGTCTTTATTTTTAGAGAATAGAGTGGAAAACGTGTGTTTACAAAAGGAAAAGTTGTTTTCCAGAACTCATGTCATTACTTTTACCAAAGTGGAAGTCTGCATGAATATGCTCAGCATCTGATGTTCAATGTTCTGTTATACTGTAAGTGCAGCCAGCCCACAAAATATATGTAATATATTGATTTATTTGTATATATGCAGAGTATGGTATTTTGTGCTTTATACCTATTTTTGTCCAGCTCTTTGATGAGTAGGATATTAAATGTGTTATGGAAATGCAGATTATTTCTTCAATGATAAGATAATTATGAAAATAAAATCTGAAACTATGTAAATATGATTATTCTTTTTGTCATTCATTTTGCTTTGCTTATTTCCTTTTTTCCAAGGACACATTCTTATTTATGATTCCAGCTATATTTTACAAGAACAGTATTTGTTTATTAAATTGTATATTCTGTTTTGTGGGAGTTTAGTTCCTTTGGGAGTTACTTTAAACTACTTGGGCTTTTTAAGATACTTATTATCCAGTTACTCTATATAATACTGTACTGTCTATTTGGTGAGATGGATGACTTTTAATACATCTTCCAAAAGAAGTAATTCTTTCATTGAGTTAAGTGAGGTAAAAATACATGATTAGGGAGTTAAGAAAACTAATGTGAAATGGCATTGTTTTGCATTTAAGCATAGTTGGCACCTTAATTACCAGTGGATTTACTTATAATTAGATTTTTTTGAGTTCCTGCTATGTAATATTGTCCATATTTTTCATAGAATGGGAATCAATATGATTTAATAGCTGGACTTAATAGTTAAGTTGGAGTAAGAGGTAGAGGAATGGCTCTTGGCCATAGTGCGATTTTGCATTTCTTCCTGGACACCTTGAAGTGTTCTGAGTGTGCTTTGTGGTCACCCTGGCAGTCTCATCTTAATGCTACAGTCTCCCTCTACACCCCCCCCCCATTGTTTTTATTAGGCTAGTACCAATAAAAGGCTCAATATTAACTTTAACTTGTTAAATTTAAGAACATTAAAATGTCTTGAAAGAAAAAAAATCTGAAGCAAATATCAATTTTGAAAAATGAGAGCAAACCTCTTCCGTTTGAGGTGTTTTTGTTTGTTTTTGTCTTTTTACTTATGGCCAGGAGACCTTTATACATAGGAGGGAACTTACAGGCTTTTTAATTAACATTCAAAGGCACTGAATAAAATTTCCCTAAATAGCCCCACCTAATAAACTAGGTTAACTAAATCCCGTTAGAGTTTAAGGCTTAAACATTTTAAATTACATTTACAATTTTTTTTTTTACATCTGATTCTCCCAAAGCTTTCAAAGGACCTAATTAGGGCAGTCTTAAAACTTTCAAAACTTTCGCAAGCAGTTAACTAACTTGTGAAGCTAATAAATTCAACTTACACATACAGTAAATAAAGTTTCTAAATTTTCAAGAACTGTGAACTTAAATTCTCAAATTAGTCACAAATATTTAAAATGAAAATAAGTCAGATTCTGTTAAATGTTTTAAGAACCTTAAATATAAACATATACAGGTTATTACCTTAATTACAAAACTTATTTCTGGCCCAGCAGAAAGGGTGATCTTCATGGGGTTGACTGTGTCAATATGAAATACTTAGTTCTGCATCTGCCCAGGGTAAATAACCTAACTTACCCAGTTAAGGGGAACAGATTTGCCATATTGGATAGGCCAAAATGCTTTGGGGACCACAATACAGTTTGCTAAATACTTGTAGGATGATTCTCCACGTGCTCAGATGAGCAAAGTTGGCCTTTTCTTTGGTTCTTATACTGTGTCAACAGAGGGCAGCAAACCTGTATCTTTTAGCTCAGGGTTTAGTTTCATAACACTGGACCACACACCCTTTGGGCATTTTTAAAACTATCCTATGCAGTTTTGAGGGTCTTTTTAATAATAAGACCCTCTTTCAACATTTTATAGTCTGGTTTGGGTGGATATAATTCTGTACCTATAGCTCGTTTGAAGATCATTTATTTCCATACTTGATTTCAAGTATTACCTTTGGTTTCTGCATCTTTTCCATATTTCATGGATTTTAAGGCCATTATTCAGTAGTCTTTATATTGATAAACTCATAATTCATTAGGCATCATTTTAATAAGCTTAATGAAACAACTACTACTACTACAGGTAATGTAATCTGGATTATAGGAAAGGCATGACTTCCTAAGAAGTGGATCATTCAGGAAGGGCCAGATTGTGATGTAGTAAAAACCAACCCAAGAGTCTCAGTGGTTTGACGCAACAAAGGTTCGTTTTTATCCATGCTCCAGTTTGCATCACAGGTTAGCTGAGGGCTCTGCTCCATGTCTTCCACTCAGGGCAAGACAAGGGAGCTTTATGGATCACTGAGACAAGGGCAAGGGAATTCAGGTATCCTGCTAGCAATAAGCAGTCCATCCCAAAAGCGGCACACTGACTTCCTTGCACTCACCTCGTCACCACCGCGTCACCAAGGGGCTGGAACCTTCAGCCTCCCATAGGCCTAGAAGGAGAGGAAAATCTCCCACCCTGGTGACTGCCAAATCTACTTAGGCCTTAAAGCACTTCTGGGCAGTTTTGGGGGTTTTTTGGTGACTTTTCCTAACACTCATTTAGGATTTTAATAGAAAGTAAGTTCAAACGAACATACAGAGTGAACAGCTGGTTGTTCCCTGGAGAGGTTGGAAAGCTACTCTTTCCTGTCCACTCGGAGGCTAATCCCTTTGGGAAAGCACTTCCATCTCTTCCCTGGAATGTCTGAAGCTGTCGTTTCCTAGTTATTCTGGCTTAATTAGCTGCCTGGCTCCCTTCTCTTTCATTAATATCTAACTAGCTACCTACTGGAACAGAACGATAACCGGACCTTGACATTTTCAAATCAATTGGTGAGGCGGAGCTTTGGTGGTGGTTTGTCAGGTATGGGGAAGCAGGATCCAGAAGGTTTATGGAGAGGCTGGGACTGCTCTTTTAGGTTCATGTTCCAAAGGAAAGCACTTTGTCCCTCAAAGGAACAGAGGGTGAAGAAGCAGTGGTGCTGGTATCTACCCCAAATGAGGGTGGCCAGAGTGCAAATCTGAGGTCCAACTCCTTGCTGACTTGGCAGGCCCGCCCTCTGCCCAGGAATCTTCATTTTTTTCTGCTGGACTCAGCTTGGTGTTTCCTGGGCAGGATTGTCGCCCTCCTGGGCCAAGCATCTGTGTGTGCTGGTCAGCCTCCAGAGTGCACTGGCCCTGAGCCACAGGGAGTAATTGCATTTCCACAGCCAGGAAAAAGGAGCTTGCTCCGCTGAGGAAGCTGGATGGTGACTGCTGAGAGCAGATGCGAAAGTGGTCAGGGCTGGGTGGTGGTGTCCACTGTCCCTTCAAGGGTGTCAGTCAGAAGGAGGACACCAGCCCCTCCAGGTGCTCCCAGGCGCCCTCTCCCTCTAGATTGCCCCTTCTCTCTACGCAGGTATGGGCTCTGCCTTCTCTTTCTTTTCTTTCCTTGTGAGCACATATTTTCCTGTGAATAAAAACACCTGGTCTTTCTGATGATACCTGAATTTTCAGTCTAGGCCTCACCTGTCTTCTGAGTTCTAGCCTTTCATACCCAATTACTTACCTGATCCATCTCATTTCCATGTTTCACTCTTACCGCGTCTATAAGAACAATCTGGAGTCCCATCTCCACGCTGTTCCCCTACTGCCTCATTTAGCAAAACAGCTGTGCCACCCAAATCAGAAACCAATGATTTGTCCTCCGGTGCTCCTTTGCCCGTGTCCAGTCCGTCAAAATCCATCTGTTTTCACGGTAACCATCCTAGTCCAGGAGGTGGTGTGCTGGAGGTGGCTAGTTCTCACTCCCGAGAGCTGATTATTAACACCTCACCCCAACTTTGTCATTAGTAACTTCACTTGGGTAGCTTGAAATCAGCCACAGTGGGAGTATTTCCACCATGGAAATTGACAGGGGCTCGATCGGGGTTTTCTCTCTCTTTTTCTCCGAAGGGCTGGTGTTAAACATTTCCTGTTACACCACTGGTGCAGCTGCCTTCTTTCACCTGTACTAATGCAATGGCCTCTCGCTTCCCGCTCCAATCCCTTTTCTACACAGCAGCAAAAACAGATTTCTGGAAACAGTGGAATAGTGTTATGTCCTTCCTTAAAGCCTTTGAGAGCCTCTCCTTGCACTGGGGTAAAATTCAACCTCTTAATATGGCTTAAGCTTCATTTTGTGTCAATTACTTTCAGAAGTCAAGTCCACCTAGACTTGGGTGAGGACAGGCGTTGCCAGATGAGTACAATGATACACATGTCGTGAGTATGAATTCCACAGACCTCATTTCCAGGTTGCAGCACCAACACTGTTTATATTTTATAGAACATGCATTCATTTCTAACTCTGATGCCCCATTCAGGCTGATGAAAAAAGCAATCTAGACCAGCACTGTCTAATAAAAAATGTGAGTCACATAAGCAGTTTTAAATGTTCTAGTAGTTATATTAAAAAGTAAAAAAAAAAAAAACAGGCAAAATTAATTTTAATAATTTTTTTTCTTTAGCCCAATATGTATTGCTTCAGATATAAGTTGTTTCCATTGGTCCTAGAGTGTGTCCGTGGGTCACCTCAAACTCCCTGGCTTGGATTCATCTACTTGCCCTCTGCCCTGTGGCATCCAGAGAGCCATCCAGAACAGCCTCTCCCCC